GGAGGCGGAGGTTGCGGTGAGCCAAGATCGCGCCATTGCACTCCAGCCTGGGTAACAAGAGCGAAACTCCGTCTCAAAAAAAAAAAAAAAAAACAACTTACAAATCAACTATCTGCTGACTTCAGGTGAGTCACCTAACACGTCACCTTAACTTAAAGCAGTGGAAAAAGGCATTTTATGCAAATGGACACCAAAAGCAAACGGGTAGCTATTCTTATACCAGACAAAACAAGCTTTAAAGCAACTGTGGTTAAAATAGACAGAGGGACATTATATAATGGTAGCTGGTCTGGTGCAACAGGAAAACATCACAGTCCAAAACCTATATGGTCCTAACACTGGCACTCCCAAATGTATAAAACAATGACTAATACACCTAAGAAATGAGGTAGACAGCAACACTGGTGTGGGACTTCAACACTCCACTGGGAGAACTAGACAGGTTGTCAAGACAGAAAGTCAACAAAGAAACAATGATTTAAACCATACCCTGGAACAAATGGACTTAACAGATATATACAAAACATTTCATCCAACAACCACAGAAAACATATTCTACTCAATAGCACATGGAACTTTCTGCAAGGTAGACTATATGATAGGCCATAAAAAGAGCCTCACTAAATTTGGAAAAATTGAAATTATATCAAGCACTTTTTTAGACCACAGTGGAATAAAACTGCAAATCAACTCCCAAAGGAACATTCAAAATCACAGAAATACATGGGAATTAAATAACCTGCTCCTGAATGAGCATTGGGTCAAAAACATAATCAATATGAAAATTTAAAAAATTCTTCAAACTGAATAACAATGAAAACTTCTGGGATACAGCTAAGGTGGTGCTAAGAGGAAAGTTTACAGTGTTGAATGCATACATCAAAAAGTCTGAAAGAGCACAAACAGACAATCTAAGGTCACATGTCAATAAGCTAGAGAAACAAAAACAAACCAAACCCAAACCCAGCAGAAAAAAGGAAATAACCAAGATCAGATCAGAACTACTTACATGGAAACAAACAAACAAACAAACAAATACAAAAAGTAAACAAAAATTGCTTCTTTAAAAAGATAAATAAAATAGACCATTGGCAAGATTAACCAAAAAGAAAGAAAATCCAAATAACCTCACTGAGAAATGAAACAGGAGATATATTACCACTGACACCACTGAAATACAAAAAATCATTCAAGGCTACTATGAACACCTTTACAAACATAAACTAGAAAACCTAGAAGAGATGTATAAATTCCTGGAAGAATAAAATCCTCCTAGCTTAAATCAGGAAGACTTAGACACTCTAAACCAACAAATAACAAGCAGTAACATCAAAATGGTAATTTAAAAATTACCAACAAAAAAAAAGTCCAGGACCAGATGGATTCACAGCAGAATGTTACCAGATATTCAAATGAATTGTTACGAATCTTTCTGGCACTATTTCATAAAATAGAGAAAGAAGGAACCCTCCCTAATTCACAGTCCTGGAAGTCCTACTCAGAGCAATCAGACAAGAGAAAGAATTAAAGGCATCCAAATCAGTAAACAGGAAGTCAAACTGTTTTTGTTTGCTGATGATACAATCATTTACCTTGAAAACCCTAAGGACTCCTCCAGAAACCTTCTAGACCTGATAAAGAAATTCAGCAAAGTTTCTGGATACAAGATTAATGTACACAAATTAGTAGCTCTTCTATTAACCAACAGCAACCAAACAGAGAATTAAATCAATAACTCAACCCCTTTTACAATAGCTGAAAAAAAAAATACTTGGGAATATACCTAATGAAGAAGTCGGAAGACCTCTACAAGGAAAATTACAAAACACTTCTGAAAAAAATCATAGATGACAAACAAATGGAAACACATTGCATGCTCAAGGATGGGTAGAATCAAAATTGTGAAAATGTCTCCACACTGCCGAAAGCAATCTACAAATTTAACACAATTCTCATCAAAATTCCACCATCATTCTTCACAGTTAGAAAAAATAATTCTAAAATTTTTGTAAAACCAAAAATGAGCCCACATAGCCAAAGGAGACTAAAGAAAAAGAACAAATCTGGAGACACCACACTACCTGGTTTGAAACTATAGCATAAGGTCATAGTCTCCAAAACAGCATGATACTGGTATAAAAATAGGCACATAGACCAGTGGAACAGACAACCCCAAAATAAACCCAAATACTTACAGCTAATCTATCTTCAGCAAAGCAAACCAAAACATAAGGTGAGAAACAATAGCCTTTTCAACAACTGGTGCTGGGATAATTGGCTAGTCACATGTAGAAGAATGAAACTGGATCCTCATCTCTCACCTTATTAAAAAAACTCAACTGAAGATGGATTAACGACTTAAACCTAAGACCTGAAACTATAAAAATTCTGGAAGATAACACTGGAAAAACTCTTCTGGACATTGGCTAGGCAAAAATTTCATGATCAAAAACCCAAAAGCAAATGAAGTAAAAACAAGAATAGCTGGGACCTAATTAAACTAAAGAGCTTTTACATGGCCAAAGGAACAGTCAGCAGAACAAATAGACAACTTACAGAGTAGAAGAAAATCTTCACAATTATACATCTGACCAAGGACTAATATTCAGAATCTACAATGAACTCAAACAAATCAGGAAGAAAAAAAAATCCCATCAAAAAGTGGGCTAAAACATGAACAGACAGTTCTCAAAAGATATACAAATGGCCAACAAACATGAAAAAATGCTCAGGATCACTAATGATCAGGGAAAGGCAAATCAAAACCATAATACGATACCACCTTATTCCTACAAGAATGATCATAATCAAAAGATCAAAAAACAGTAGATGTCGGCGTGGACGCGGCGATCAGAAAAAACTTCTACACTGCTGGTGGAAATGTAAACTAGTACGGCCGCTATGGAAAAAAGTGTGAAGATTCCTTTAAGAACTAAAAGTAGAACTACCATTTGATCCAGCAATCCCACTACTGAGTATCTACCCAGAGGAAAATAAGTTATTATTTGAAAAAGATACTTGCACATCCATGTTTCTAGCAGCACAATTCACAACTGCAAAATTGTGGAACCAGCTGATATGCCCATCAATCAATGAGTGGATAAAGAAACTGTGATACATATCTATCTATCTATCTATCTATCTATCTATCTATCTATCTATCTATATCTACACACACACATACAAACATATTAAACATATATATAAACATATAAACATATATATACACACACATACATATAAAATATTAAAAAAATCAAAATATGTTAAAATACTACTGTATATATTGGAATACTACTCGGCCATAAAATGGAATGAATTAACAGCATTTGCAACGACCCGGATGAAACTGGAGATGAAACTATTACTGTTAAGTGAAGTAACTCAAGAATGGAAAACCAAACATACTATTTTCTCACTGATATGTGGGAGGTAAGTTATGAGGATGCAAAGGCATAAGAATGATACAATGGTCGGGCGCGGTGGCTCAAGCCTGTAATCCCAGCACTTTGGGAGGCAAAGGCGGGTGGATCACGAGGTCAAGAGATCGAGACCATCCTGATCAACATGGTGAAACCCCGTCTCTACTAAAAATACAAAAAATCATCTGGGCATGGTGGCGCGTGCCTGTAATCCCAGCTACTCAGGAGGCTGAGGCAGGAGAATTGCCTGAACCCAGGAGGCGGAGGTTGTGGTGAGCCGAGATCGCGCCATTGCACTCCAGCCTGGGTAACAAGAGCGAAACTCCATCACAAAAAAAAAAAGATACAATGGACTTTGGAGACTTGGGGGAAAGAGTGGGAAGGTGGAGGGATGAAAGACAACATATATGGTGCAGTGTATACTGCTCAGGAATGTGTTCATCAGGCTCTCACAAATCACCTCTAATAACCTTACTCATCTAACCAAATACCACCTGTACCTCAATAACTTATGAAATAATACATTAAAAGATTATTCTCATAATTACAGACCAGCTCACATAATGAATATTTGATAAACTATTACACAGGCCAGGTGCAGTGACTCACGCCTGTAATCCCAGCTACTCAAAAGCTGAGGCAAGGGAATTGCTTGAATCTCGGAGGTGGAGGTTTCAGTGAGCCAACACTGTACCCCAGCCTGGGTGACAGAGCAAGACTCTGTCTCAAAACAAACAAACAAAAACTATGAAACAACAACAAAAAAAGAAAAGTATGGTTTAGCATGAGTACCAGTCAAGTTAAAAACAGAGAATTTGCATGGAGAGATTCTGAACCATTAGTCAAAAGATTGCACAGGAATACATTCAATACAAAGCAGAGAGGATAGATTTGTTTTCAGCATTTTTGAGAATTTTTGTTTTCCAGTAAATTAGACGCCTTCTTAAAATGACTTATTTTGTTCTGATATTGCTTTTTTCTGCTAAAAATAATTTCAAACTTCTACTCGCACAAACACACTTACTCCATAATTTATTTACACCTAAAGTTTATCTTTAGACTAACAGATGTGAATATTTAACTCTATATAAATCAATACTAATAGTCCATATGTGCTTGCAGGCAGAGGACACATGTTCAAAGAAAAATATATTAAAAATTTTAAAAATATTTATTCAGGACTCAGAAATGTATGAATTTTTACTTATGTTTGAATATACTTTCCATTATGACCATAAAAATGACCGTGTAGTTAACAAAAATTTAATTGTACATTTAAAAATAACTAAAACTGTAGAATTGAATTGCTTGTAATACAAAGAATAAATGCTAGAGGTAATGGATACCTCACTTCCTCTAATGTAATTATTATATACTGTACGCCTGTATTACAATATACCATATACAGTGTAAATATATACACATATTATGTATCCACAAAAATTAAGAAACATAAATTTAAATGCAAAAATAAGAATAAAAATTTAACCTACAGAAACAATATTCTTTAAGTTTATTGGCACCTGAAAGCCACTGGCAAAAAAGGTTAATAGAGATGTCGGTCCATTATTTTATCTTATCTTATTTTTATACTAAAAATAGTATATTTTTACCATCTTTTACCTAGACCCTTGAGTAAGCTGGAATAGGTTAAAGTTAGTCGCATAATAACACTTCAGTAAATTCATGATAGTATATAACATGTTTAAAATGTTGAAAAGTTCACACATAATTTATAATTTAAAAATATACTGCATATTCATAAAAGTACAGTAACACAACATACTACTAACTTAATTTTAACGAAATTTTTCAAAATAATGCAGAAGAATATTACTCTGAACACCAACCTCATGCATCACTCAATATTATAAGTTAACCACAAAGAGCCTATTTAAATTTTCATCATGCATCTTACATTTCAATGTCCTTACCTTTCCATAGAAAAGATAATGAATAATGCCTCATAAAAAAAAGAATCTCTCGTATTTTTATGCAGCAACAGTCAGTCACATGCTTTCCATGTGAATACATGAGGAATGATTAAACAGGATGAAGTAATTGAGTTTAACTTCATTATTATTCACTTTTTAAAAATCCTGTATTTTCAAAAAAGGATACTTTGAATTATGACTCTCCAAACATTATTCTACTTCTTTAAAAATTATATAGAAATAATGTTTACACAAATTTTAGTTTGTATTATTTTCTATACTCAGCACTCTGATTTAGTGCAATGTCTGAAGTTTGAGTGCCCTAGATAGTTCAACTGTAAATTATTCCCTGATATTTACATAAATGGAATTTTGGGTTGAATATCTTTTATATTGACTGCATCTGGAAATATATGTTTTATTATAAACTCTTTAGTGTTTTTATAATTTGTAGTTTTTGAAAAACTGTTTTCCCAAATGTATCTGCAGAGTTTTCTTCAATATAACTCTGTGATGTTGGGCAAAATTTTAACAACTGTCTCAGGGTTTTCCTCTAGTATAAAATGTATACAATAAGATCTGTGACACAAGTAAAGGTATTACAACCCTCTTCATATTTGTAATGCTTTTTCAAAATACTCCTTTGCACTTTCAAGACAGATTTTCTGACAGATCTTTTGATACTAATTACACATTTAATACTTTTATTTAGCATGAACTCTCTGATTTTGAGTCAGATGTAAGCAGGTATTAATGGCTTTTTTACTTTGTCTATATCTGTACATTTGTTCTCAAGTATAAATTCTTTCCTGTGTAATAAGGTGTGAGCATTGGTTCGAAGCTTGGCCACACTGTTCACACTAGTAGTTTCCTCCAGTGTGAATTCCCTTAGCTACAATCAAGTGTGAAAATCATTTAAAGGCTTTGTCATGTTCTTCATATTTCTAGGATTTCTCACCAGCATGATTTGCTTTACATTTAGAAAAGTTTGAGTTCTTGTCAAAAGCATTGGCACATCTTTCAGGTTTATAGCATTCCTCTCCAGTATGAACAATCTTATGTCCATTAATAATGAAGGACTTTTTATAGGCTTTGCCATGTTATTCACACTTGTAAGATTTCTCTCCAATATGAGTTATCTTATCTGTAGTAAGACATGAGGACTGGTTAAAGGCTTTGCCAAATTTTTCCCATTTGTAGGGCTGCTTTCCAGTATGAATTTTCTTATGTTTAGTTAGGGCTGAGGACCAGGAAAAGGCTTTGCCACATTCTTCACATTTGTAGGGTTTCTCTCCAGTATGAATTATCTTATGTGTAGTAAGATTTGAGGATCGATTAAAAGCTTTGCCACATTCTTCACATTTGTAGGGTTTCTCTCCAGTGTGCATCCTCTTATGTGTAGTAAGGGTTGAGGATTGGCTAAATGCTTCACCACATTCTTCACACTTGTAGGGTTTCCCTCTAGTATGAATTCTCTTATGTTTAGTAAGGGTTGAGAAGCAGTTAAATGCTTTGCCACATTCTTCACACTTGTAAGGTTTCTCTCCAGTATGAATTATTTTATGTCTAGTAAGATTTGAGGACCGATTAAAAGCTTTGCCACATTCTTCACACTTGTAAGGTTTCTCTTCAGTATGAATTATCTTATGTTCAGTAAGGTTTGAGAATTGGCTAAAAGCTTTTCCACATTCTTCACATTTGTAGGGTTTCTCTCCAGTATGAATTATCTTATGTGTAGTAAGAGTTGAGACCCATTTAAAAGCTTTGCCACATTTTTCACATGTGTATGGTTTCTCTCCAGTGTGCACCCTCTTATGTCTCATTAGGGTTGAGGACCATATAAATGCTTTCCCACATTCTTCACATTTGTAAGGTTTCTCTAAAGTGTGCATCTTTTTATGATTAGTTAGGGTTGAGGATAACATAAATGCTTTGCCACATTCTTCGCATTTGTAGGGTTTCTCTCTAGTATGAATTCTCTTATGTTTAGTAAGTGTTGAGGACCATATAAAAGCTTTGCCACATTCTTCACACTTGTAAGGTTTCTCTCCGGTATGAATTATCTTATGTTTAGTAAGATTTGAGCATCGATGAAAAGCTTTGCCACATTCTTCACATTTGTATGGTTTTTCTCCAGTGTGCATTCTCTTATGTATAGTTAGGGTTGCGCAACATATAAATGCTTTGCCACATTCTTCACATTTGTAGGGTTTCTCACCAGTATGAATTCTCTTATGTTCAATGAGGGTTGAGGACCATATAAAAGCTTTGCCACATTCTTCACACTTGTAAGGTTTCTGTCCGGTATGAATTATCTTATGTTTAATAAGATGTGAGCATAAACGAAAGGCTTTGCCACATTCTTCACACTTGTAGGGTTTCTCTCCAGTGTGCATCCTCTTATGTCTACTTAGGGTTGAGGAACATATAAAGGCTTTGCCACATTCTTCACATTTGTAGGGTTTCTCTCTAGTATGAATTCTTTTATGTACAGTAAGGGCTGAGGACAATATAAATGCTTTGCCACATTCTTCACACTTATAAGGTTTCTCTCCAGTATGAATTCTCTTATGTACAGTAAGCGTTGAAGACCAATTAAAATCTTTGCCACATTCCTTACATTTGTAGCGTTTCTCTCCACCATGAATTATTTTATGTGCAGTAAGCACTGAGAGTTGCTTAAAAGATTTGCCACATTCTTCACATTTGTAGGGTTTCTCTTCAGTATAAATTTTCTTAAGATTAGTAAGGGTTAAGGACCAATTAAAGGTTTTTCCACATTCTTTACACTTGTGGGACTTCTTTGTTGTATAAATGCTTTTATGCAGGGTTTTGTGTGAAAGCATGCAAAATGATTTGACACATGTTTTGCATCTGAAAGGTTTCTTTCCAGTAGGTCTTACCTGATGTCTGTTTGAATTTAAAAATTTATTAAAAACTTTCAAATATTTACCACACTGAAATACTTTCTTCCGGGAAGTTGTGAAATACTGGTTAAGTCCATTATAACCTTCTTTGTGGGTCTTATACTCATTCACATTTGTACAGCTTTTTCCAAACTGTAAATTCTCATGTCCACATTTTTCATCTCTTCTAAGTATTACTTTTTGAAGAGAATCTTCCATGCCCTGCTCTGGCCAAAGGTGTTGAGCAAAATGAGGAAATATACCTGAAAAAAAATATTCCACTTACTAGACGCACATGAATATAGTTTAAAAATCTGACCTATACAATTATACAAACTAAATTAACAAGATGGCATTGTAAAATACCACAGGCCCTAATTCTTTCATAGACATATAAACGTAACAAAAACAGACAGATCAAAACACATCTGTGGAAAATTTATAAATGAGTTAATTGTGTGCAATGTCCCAGATGAGCACAATGCAAAAAACCGCATAAAAGAGAAAGAAAAAATCTGTTAAATGTACCCAACACAGCGTTTCCTGCTTCTCACTATAACACAGTGCCTTTAGAAGTAAATTGCCAAATCTGGTTTTTGTTTTAAAAGAAAGGTAAAATACTGGCACATTCACTGTCATTTCTGGCTTTTAGGGGCTTCTCCTGATACTAGTTTCTATCTCTCATGACATAAAGTGCTGAAAGAAATGGTAGTATACTTTGGAATGACAGTTTGAGTCTGCTGAGACCAAAGAAAAATGTTACAGCAGCAGAGACTGCAGTACCACAGAAAGGGAACAAATGTAGCAAGTGATTACTGACTCCTACCAAGAAACATGAGTAAATGCTCTTAACTAAAAAAATAAACACAAAATTTCAGACAACACGTATCTTAAAAACAAGTTTGAGAAATTCCCATAATCACAAGCCAAGACAATCTTTTTCAGACTATGTCAGAACAAAGCTACATATAATAATTTTTACAGGTAGCTTTTTATTAATGTCCAAATCTCAAAGATTATAATACATAAAAAATAGGGTAGGCCACGCACAGTGGTTCCTGCCTGTAATCCCAGTGCTTTGGGAGGATGAGGTGGGCAGATCAACTGAGGTTGGAAGTTTGAGACCAGCCTGACCAACGTGGAGAAACCTTATCTCTACAAAAAACACAAAATAAGACAGGCATGGTGGTGCATGCCTGTAATCCCAGGTACTTGGGAGGCTGAGGCAGGAGAATCTCTTGAACTCGGGAAGTAGGGGTTGCAGTGAGAGATCAAGCCATTGCACTCCAGCCTGGGAAACAAGAGTGAAACTCCATCTCAAAAAAAACAAACAACAACAAAAATAGCACCATATGATCTCACCAAAAATATCATGAAATTTTCATAAAAAGATGTACTGTATACATTAATTTTAAGAATTCATAATAAATTGAGTAATACTAATTAAATAGAAACAGAGACAACTATGGAAAATCAGAAAAATGAGGATAAGAACAA